GGAGGGCAATGACATCAGGGAATTTTGCAGATTCCCACTTGCAAAGTCTTGATTTTGTCTTAATTTTGCACCCCAGTTAGGTAGCCAGGAAAGCAGCGGGGTGCCTGGGGGAGGCTGCTGTGACTTGTCACTGAGGATCCTACACATAGGTTGTAAATTGGCAGAGTCCTGGGAGCTCATTTCACTGAATTAGTCATTTATTGAGTAACTGGGCCTTTCGGGGTCACGCGGAGTGAACTCAGGGCTTACCCTCGGCTCTGTGTCCAGGAGTCACTCCCCGTGAGACGGAGAGGAACACACGGGATGCTGGGGATCAAGTCAGGGCCTGCTGCATGCAAGGCAAGAGGCTTGTCTCTTGCGTTATCTTTCTGACTGTCAATTGGAAATTTTAAAGAGGTTATGATTCGACTAATGGTTCTAATTAAAACGATAAGATAAGGTTCCCATGCAAAACAAGAGAAAAAGAAAAGTCTTAACCTCAAGTATACAAAAAACACATTCAAATCAATAATATTTCCTGGAACAAAAGGACATTTAATGGAATGGGTATTCTTATTGCCGTTACAATACATTTATAATAAAATTATGCTATCCATCATGATGGAGCATTTATTATGAAGCCATTACAACAAGGTTCATGAGTGGTTTTTAATGATAGAGAATGACGCTTATTATATAATGCTCAATTAACAAGGCTATAAAAGTGTCTGGACATCGTATTCTACTATAGAATCCAGGAAAGTTGCTTAAGTAGATGTCTAGAAGCTGAAATATAGATGCATCTTAATGCTTCTAATAGTTCTTTCAATAAATACAGTAGCCTGTAACCGCTTAAGTGATCTCCTCAGGCTTGAGAGTCCGTATTAGTAGAAAGGTATCGAGGTAATAGGGTTAAGGGGCTGTGTTAGCTCCTCAGGGAGACCCCACACTGGGGGCCTTGACATGACACAGGGTGAGTGGGGGCCGGAGCTGGGATTAAGGTGTGAGCTCCTGGGACGAGCCCTCTGCTTCCTCCAGTTTCTGGGAGTGTCAGCAACCACTGGCTTGCAGTCTCCTCTCTCCAACCCCTGCCTGTGTGGGCATCGGGTTTCTCCCGCCCGCGTTTCTTCCTGTGTGACTCCGTGCCCGGAGCCCTCTCTGCCTGCAGCTCACCTCACACTGAACAGGTCCTTGGCCGCAGCACTCCAGCTCAGCATAGCCCATCGCACTGTAAGGACCCCAGTAAGGCCACATCCTAAGGCACAGGGCCGTCAAGTCTGTGTGTGCATGTGTGTGCGTATATGTGTGTGTATGTGTGTGTGTGCATGGGTGTGTACATGTGTGCGTGCGTGTGTATGTGCGTGTGTGTGCATTTGTGTGCGTGTGTGCCTGTGTGCGCATGTGTGTGCGCGTGTGTGCATGTGTGAGCATGTGTTCCTATGTGCCTGTGCGCATGTGTGCGCGTGTGTATGCGTGTGCGTGCATGCATGTGTGGTGTGCACACACATCTGTAGGGTGAGGGGGTGCTATTCAATCCAGTATAGTATGTTAAGTGAAAAACAGATTTTTGTATGTTAAGTTGCCTTGCGCGCAGCTGACCTGACTGACCCGGGTTCAATTCTTTTGCCCCTCTTGGAGAGCCCGGCAAGTTACCAAGAATATCTCGCCCGTGATATAAAGCCTGGCAAGCTACCTGTTACGTATTCGATATGCCAAACACAGTAACAACAAGTCTCACAATGGAGATGTTATTGGGCCCGCTCGAGCAAATCGATGAACAACAGGAGGACAGTGACAGTGATAGTGAAGTTAGAGTCAGTCAAACACTTCAAGATCCCATTCCCCAAGATGGCACAAGTTGGTGTGGCGTTGGAATGAGGTCCGTAAGAAGCCATTATTAGGCTGGAGCAATAGCACAAAGGGTAGGGCGTTTGCCTTGCACGCGGCCAACTGTAAACCAACAACAACAACAAAAATATCCCATTCGCTATGCTCATTTGGGTTCCAACCTACCCCTCCACTCCACTCCCTGACCCCCCGCTTCCGCTGGGGACTTTTTACCACAATCTGAATCACAGTGGAATGTTTTATGTAAATTTGAACTTTGTAATTTTAAAATAGCTTAGGCTAAAAATATTAGTAAAATTTCTCTTTATGCTCCAACTTTGAAGTAATCCCAAGTTTAAAAGAGAGAGAGAAAAAAAATCCCACCGTCTTTCTGAGCAATATTTCCAGTGACTTTTAAATCATGCTTCTGTTCTGAGCGGGGTTCCTTGTCAGGAGCTGGTGGAAGGGTTGCCCAGGATAGTACCTGGGGTGGGCACAGGGACTCCCTTTGATTGGGAACTTCATCAAAGGGTCCCTATTGATAAAAGTCACTGTCCTCCCGTTGTTCATTGATTTTCTCGAGCGGGCCCAGTAACGTCTGCATTTTGAGATTTGTACTCTTGGTAGCTTGCTGGTCTCTCCGAGAGGGGTGGAGAAATTGAACTCAGGCTGGCCATGTTGGCTGTGTATAAGGCAAACGCCCTACCCGCTGTGCTATCACTCCAGCCCCCCTATCGATATACCTATCAATATATATGCATGGTTGTTGAGGCACTGCTGGCTGGGGCAGAAGATGCCACCCGCAAAGAAGGAAGGATTCCTTTGGTTATTTTGGGTTTTGGGGCTGTATCCAGCAGTGCTCAGAGTCTCTCCCTGGCTCTGTGAACCTGGGTTGAGCACACGCAAGGCCAGTGCTTTCTCTCCTGTGCTTTGTGCTGAGGATCATGGAGGAACAACCGACATCTGCAGACTCCTTCTCCTCTCTGGTAGCAGGAAGGAGGAAGAGTTGTGATTCCTACAGATTCATGTCAGAATCCGCCCGATCAATCGCAGCAAATCAGACCTTGGGGTGGGGTGGGGGCGCTGTGGCTTTCCCATCCTCTCAAGGCACCAAAGCGGGTTTCCCGGGATGGTCTAGTCTTCTCAGGTGTCTGTCCCCTCCCTCCTTATAGATCCATTGCCTTGGAAAGTGGAACCAGCAGGAAGCTGAGGGGTGTGTGTGTGTGTGTGTGTGTGTGTGTGTGTGTGTGTGTGTGTGTGTGTACGTGTTGGGGGGTGCATTCTTGCCAATCTCACGTTAAGAATTTTTTCACTTACAGCAGGAGAGAACACAGAGGGAAAAAACAGTCTTGCCTTCCCACAAGTGATCACTCAACTCTCTGACTGTTGTCTCTGGGACCTCTTGAGGACATTCTGAACAACTAAAGCCTGAAAAATAAAATTCAGGTTAAGAAAGCGCTCTGCTGGCCTTGGGGCTCGGTGCCCGGGGGCTCAGTGCTCGAGGATATTTGAATGTTGCCTTGGCTCATGAATAAAGAGCTTAAAGAGCTCCTGTGTTTACGGGTTTAAAAAAGATTTTTTTTTTTTTCTTGAGTGTGTCTGTTTTGTTCACTACTTTGTGATTTTTTTTTTTTCTGATCAACAGCTTCTAGCACAGAGCAATGTGGGGGAAGGAAATGAGTGTTTTCCTCTACTGGCTTAAATTCTTTGTCTGAGGACTGCGAATTAAACTGGCAAGACACACATTAGCAGGTGGAAAAGGTTTATTTTGCGTGGGTATGGTGCCAACAAAGGTGGTAACTGACCCAGTGAATGAGACTAGGGGCCTAAACTGAGAGGAGGAAGGAAAGGTGACGATAGGGAAAAGCTTCTTATTGGGGGAGCAAATAGGTTTGTTTAGCAAAGACAGGTGTCTTAGGGGAGTAGAGGGAGCTAAGAATGTCAGGGATTGTGGTGACGTCTGCGCAGGGAGGTGCCGTCTTTGCAGCTTCTTCAGGATCCTGAAATCCCCTGGTTAGGGGATTTGGGATAAGTTTCACCTGCACTCTCCCTGCTTGGGCAGAGGCCCCTGAAGAGGAGCTGACTGAAACCTTATTTTCTTTAGTTAGAAAAGGGTGCTCTCTCTCTCTCTCTCTCCTCTCCCTCTCCTCTCCTCTCTCTCTCTCTCTCTCTCTCTCTCTCTCTCTCTCTCTCTCTCTCTCCCTCTCTCCCCCCCCCCCCCTTAACTGTTTGCTTTTTGGGCCACACCCAGTGATGCTCAGGGTTTTCTCCTGGCTCTGCACTCAGGAATTACTCCTAGCGGTACTCGAAGAACCATATGGGATGCTGCGGATCAAACCCAGATCGGTTGCGTACAAGGCAAATGCCCTCCCGGCTATGCTATTGCTCTGGCCCCCAGAGTATTTTAAATTATTTTTAAAATTTTGTTTCTGCACCACAGCTGACAGTGCTCAAGGCTTACTTCTGGCTCTGTGCTCACTCCTGGGAGTGCGGGGGTTGACCAGAGATGGTGCCAGGATTGAAGTGGGGTTGGTGGCAGGCAATGGGGGTATATTCTGATGCTCTTTAAGGTCAGGGAGCGGCATTGCCCTTCGTTGGCTTCGAAGCCTTTTCTTTACGCTGTGCATCTGAGGGTGCCCGTGACCTGTGACCCGTGACCCGGGTCCCCCACAGGCCAGACTCTCCCAGGGGAGCAGGGTTGGGGGGACAGCCAAAGATGGAGAGAGTTTCCAGGCTGGTCCCTGGAGTTGGGGGGGTGGCCCGCCCCCCCACCAGAAGTCACCTGCGCTTCCCTCACCAACGTCCTTTGTCCCCTTCTGAGGAGCTGGAACTGGAAGCAAGGGCCTCAGAATCTGGATTCACAGAAAAAGGCTCCTTGGGATAGCACAACACGCTCCCGGACAGAACGATCCAGAAGTCCCATCCCTTTGGGCGCCATTTCCACTGACAGGAGGACCATGGGTGGACTTGGAGGCCCTTCACCAGAAACGTCTGCCCATGCTCGGCCAAGGGCCGAGAGATAGCCCGGAAGGGCTGGTCAGCCTCAGGCCAGGGAAGGTGACCCGCGTCTGGGTGGGCCGGCCCTGGGCAACCGGCCGCAGCTCTACTCTGCTTGGGGCTGGTTGATGATTAACAGGGCGGCCAGCCTCTCCTGGCACTGCTGGCCGGCAGAGTCTCAGCCGGTCTGTGAGGAACTTCCTGCTCGGGGCCCTGGGAACTGTGTCCCGCTGGGGACTCAGAGGAACGGAGGCCCCGGAGACTCTGGGAGATGGGGAGGCCCGTGCTGAGATCCTGCAGAGTGGACTGACCAGGCTGAGGTGAGTGAGCGGGGCAGCCCTGACCCTTCCCCAGGGAGACCCACTGAGGTCTCTGAACACTGAGCTGGGGTTCCTGGGAGAGCGTGGGAATATCAAACATCCTTTAGCCCTCCCCCCAAGTTCATGCAAATTAGACGTTCGATGGGCCAGGCTATCCAGGCGGGGGTGGGGGGTGGGGGGGGCTGTGGGGTCTGAGGCAGGGACGCTGGCCCTGGGAGGTCAGAGTTCAGAGGCGGGCTCACTCCGGAGGGTGTACTCAGCTCTGTGAGCATCTGAAGTCCCACACTCTCCTCTGAAAGGCCCAGTGCCCGGAGCCGGATTTTGGGGATTCGTGCCTTTCCTTCCCTTCCTCTGGAGCTGGCAGGGGCTCCTGGTAGGGTTTGCTGCGGCAGGTTGTCACTGAGAATCACTCGTCCCTTTCCTGGGGGTTGGGGGTGGGCTTCTGGCTTGCAGGCAGGCCTGGGTGTTGAGGCCTCAGTGATTTTTGAGACTCGGGGTTCGGGGAGGCCAGGGGGGTGTATCGAAGAGGACTTGCATGGCGGGCGGGGGCAGGTGGCGTCCCTCCCGTCCCTCCCAAGCTCTTTCTGTTCGGGCCTCGCTTCTCTGGTAAATGCAGTTCAGTATGATGTTGGGCTGGTGTTCCTTTCCCCAGTATTGGAGGCCCTGTGATTCATTCTCCTCAAGCAGGGCTGGTTTCGCCCCTCTATCACCACACCCAACCCAGTGTCCCCTTCCCCGTACAGCCCTGAGCCCGCCCCATAGGCTTCCAGGGAAAGTGGCCTGAGCTTCCCCTAGGAGACCTGGGCTGGAGGAGGCGGGGGTCCCTCCAGAGGCGCCCGGTCCTGGCCAGTGGTGCTGGGCAGCCTCTGGCCGTTCCCCCTCACACCCCTTCCCTCCAGGACCCACTTTCCGGGTCTGCTGACCCTAGAGACAGTTTCTGGCAGAGAACAAGGCTGGGGCAGGGAGAGCAGGGCCATGGGCACTGGGTGCGAGTGTGTGTGTGCATGAGTGAGTGTTCAAGTGTGTGTGAGTGTGTGTGTGGGACTGTGTGATTGTGTGTGTGTGACTATGTGATTGTGTGTATGTGTGTGTGAGTGTGTGCGTGTGTGTAAGTGTATTTGAGTGTGCGAGTGTCTGTGTGTTTGAGTGTGAGTGTATGTTTGAGTGTGTGTGAGTATGTGTATGTGTGCTTGAGTGTGAGTGTGCAAATGTGAGTGTGTGTATGTGTGTGTGTGAGACCATGTGAGTGCATGAGTGTGAGTGTGTGAGTGCATGATGTGTATGTGTGTGAGTGTGTGTACCTGTGTGTATGTGTGTAAGTGTGTGTGCATGTGTGTGAATGCATTAGTGTGTATGTGTGTATTTGAGTGTGTGAGTGTTTGAGTGTGTGCACGTGTATGTATGTGTGTATGTGTATGTGTGTATTGAGTATGTGTATGTGTGTGAGTGTGAGTGTGTGTGTGCATGAGTGTGTATATGTGTGAGTATGTACATGCGTGTATGTATGTACATGTGTGTATGTGTGTGAGTGTGTGTACCTGTGTGTATGTGTGTAAGTGTGTGTGCATGTGTGTGAATGAATGAGTGTGTATGTGTGTATTTGAGTGTGTGCACGTGTATGTATGTGTGTATGTGTATGTGTGTATTGAGTATGTGTATGTGTGTGAGTATGAGTGTGTGTGAGTGCATGAGTGTGTATGTGTGTGAGTATGTACATGTGTGTATGTGTGTGAGTGTGTGTATGTGTGTGAGTGTGTATGTGTGTGCATGAGTGAGCGTGTGTACGTATGTGAATGTGTATATATGTGTGTGAGTGTGTGTGCATGTATGAGTGTGTTACGTGTGTGAATGTGTGTGAGTGTGTGAGTGTATGTGAGTGTGTATATGTATGAGTGTGTGATGTGTGTGTATATGTGAGGAGTGTCTGTGTGAGTGTTATGTGTGTGTGTGAGTGTGTGTATTTGTGACTCGAGTTTGCTGCACTCTCTGACTGGTGCTTCTAAAGGCCTCAGCATCGAGGCAGCCCCCAGACCCCAGGAGATGGTCTGCAGAGAGGAGGGCACCATTCCGCCCCTGCTCACTGCCTTTCTCCTGCTGGTGGCTTCTGGGGGTCTGTGAGCACAGGGCTATGTGCATGTCAACGGGAAGACCACCCCAGGGCCCCCGGGGCAGAGCCTGTGTCTACGGGAGCATCAGGGGCTCTGCCGCTCCCAGCAAGGCCTATGACAGCGCCGAGAGAAACATGTGCGGGCAGGAGGGGCCACTGGGACTGCAGGGAACATGACTCGAGGAATGGCGGGTGGGGTCAGACCCTGGGGTGGGGGCGCCCCCTGCCTTGTCTTGTGGCCCTGGCCCTGGGGCCTGTCTGGAGCCCCCCAAATGCTGGCACCACCTCTCCCGCTGTGACCCTTTCGAGAGCTGGTCCTCTGCCCAGAATGCCCCCCGCAGTCGCCCCAAGTCCGGGCCTCACCCCTTCACTCCTCCTAGGGCACCTCTTCGGGTGACGCCACGGCAGCCCCCTGCAGTCCACTATGCCCCGGAAGTGAGCACCCTACCTCCCTCTCGAACCCACTTTCCTTTGGAACGTGACCTCCTGGTGGCAGGGATAGCTGTGGGTCATGGATGTCACCTCACCGCTGAGCGGGCTATTCTGCAGCCTGTAGCTAGAACAAGGGGCCCGGGGTCGGGGTGGGGGTTCATCTCACACCGCGTATCCCCAACATTTTTGTTTCCTGCTGCAATACGGCTCAAGCCTGAGCTCGAGGGACAGAGTCAGTCCAGAGGGGAAGGCTTGCATGTGGTCTGGGTTCCATCCCCGGATCCCACATGGTTCCCTGAGCACTGCCAGGAGTGATTCCTGAGTGCAGAGCCAGGCATAGGCCCTGGGCACCTCCAGACATGGCCCCCAAACCAAAAGACAAAAAAAAAAAAAGGCAAAATCAAACAGAAAATTCAAATCTGAACTTGTGCTGAAAGTGTCACAGGAACACTGAGCTGCTCGGCCCAGCCCCAAGTTCCAGTGCGGGGAGCTTCAACTGACCACTTGTCCCTCCTGCGTGTTTTCCAGGGCACGGAGATGCAGAGTTGCTGGACCGGCATCCTGGCCGCGCTGGTCATCCTGGTGGGGCTGGCAGGTAGGAATCTCAGGAGCTCAGGTGGAGGGGGTTGTCGGGACCCCCGAGGGTCCTTCCTGGCACCCAGAAAGTGTCCCAGCTCCCAGCCACCTCTGGTGTGGGGGGGGTCTTTTCCAGCTGTGCCCAGGAGCTGCCCTGAGAATATCACTCAGCCCCTCCTTCCCACCCCCCTCCCTCCGTCCCCCCTCCCCCTCCCCTCCCCTCCCCCTTCCCCCTCCCACCTCAGTGGCCCCCTCAAAAGTCTCTGCTCTGGGCCAGTGTCCCTCCACACCTGGCCTCTCTCTGGTCTTCAGGAGTGACTCCTTCAGGGAGCAAATCCTACTTCCCGTGTTCTGATGGGGAGAGTCTTCTTGGGGACCCCTCCCTGGGCCGGAGGCCAGGAGCCTCCCCCATCAGACTTGCTTTGGGGGGTGGGGCGGGTCACAGGCTCATGCAGGCCAGATGACCTGGGCACCATCTGCGTTCCTGGCTTCTGTGGGTTCTTCTGGTTTGCCCAGCGAGAAGCTGAGCCCAGAGGGTCTTCACCTGGCAGGGAGTCAGACAGTGCCCATCTGAGCAGAGGCCCAGGGCCCAGGAAGCTAAGCTGGTGAGCTCAATAGTTACTGGGTGAGCTCGAGAGAGGCCGGGGTGGAGTTCGGGGTGAAGTGTCTGGGACAGGCTGGGTGGGTCTGAGGATGTGGTGCTGATAGGATGGTGCTGATAAGATGACCCGGTCTTGGTTTTTGTTTTGTCTGGTTTGGGCCGTGCCTGGCGGTGCTCAGGGGCTTCTGCCTGGCTCTGTGCTCAGGGACCCCTCCTGGCAGGTCTGGGGGACCCTAGGCAGTGTTGGGAACCCAACCAGGCGGGGCCGAGGGCAATGGAGTTGGCTTCCCTGTTGTCTGTCTCCTTGACCCAGCTCTGGGGGGTTATTAATGTTAAAGTGGAAACACTTGGAGTCAAGTTTGGGGCTGGGAGCATGGAGGCAGGGGAGGGGGTTCCTGGTCGCTGGATGGGGTGAGTGCCACACGGCTGCAGCAAGGAGAGGTGTCGAGGTGAAGGGACCCCAGTCATCACTGGGCAGGCACCTCTGCCGTCTCGGGGCCTGAGTCGGAGGCGCCTTTTCCTCCATGTCCAGATGCTTTGGATGCTGTCCCTCTGCCTTCCAAGTGTGGGAGTCACTTGCTCCTGAGAGCTGAGATGCTCACTGGAGTCTCTCTCTCCCTCTCTCCCTTTCTTCTCCCTCTCTGTCGCCTCTCTCCTCTCCCCCTCTCTCTCCCTCTCTCTCTCTCCCTGACTCCCTCTCCCTCCTCATTCTCCCTCTCTCTCTTCTCTCTCCTCTCCTCCCCCTCTCTCCTTTCTCCCTCTCTCGCTCTCCTCCCTCTCTCTCCCTCACTCTCCCCCTCTTTCTCTCCTCTCTCTCCCTCCCTGTCTCCCTCTCTCTTCTTCTCCCTCCCTCTCTCTTCTCTCTCTTTCCCTCTCTCCTCCTTCCTCCCTCTTTATCTCCTCTACTTCCTCTCTCTTCTCTCCCCGCCCTCTCCTCCCTCCCTCCCTCCCTCCCTCCCTTCCTTCCTTCCTTCCTTCCTTCCTTCCTTCCTTCCTTCCTTCCCTCCCTCCTTCCCTTTCCCCCTTCCTTCCTTCCTTCCTTCCTTCCTTCCTTCCTTCCTTCCTTCCTTCTTTCCTTTCTTCCTCTTCTTTCCCATTGGGGTACAGGAGAAGGGGCTCGGGAAGCAGCTTGGGAGCAGGAATGGAGGGTGGAAGGGTAGCGAGGACGTCGCCCCTCCATGCCACGTGACTGCCAGCTGCTGTTCCAGGGAAGCTCTGAATCCTGTGTCTGGGGCCCCGGCAGAGTTCTGGGAGGGTGACACGGGTCCTTCTATCTCCGTTTCTATTTGCTTCTCAAGTCTACAAGGGGAAAGGGCCCAGGGACGTAGTTTCTGGGGACTTGCCTGTTGGACTGAAGGTCTTATTTGCAAGTTTCTCCTGTTTGCTTTGTGTAGGGCAAGGCTCACAGGGCACAGCTGATAGGAGCCAGGTAAGAAAGGAAGGAGAGCCCAGCCCCGACCTCACCTGACCAGAAATTCAGCTTCTGACTCAGGAGGCAGGGCCGTGGTGCCATGAGCTCACAGGTGATAGCCAGCCCGGAGTGTCTAGGGGCGGGGATTCCTGGGAACCTGCAGTGCTGAACCTGCATCTCCTCACGCATCCCCTCCCCTCTGTGTAGTTGCCTCTGCCTCTGAGTCTGTAGTTGTGGGAAGACCTGGGATGGGGCTGGCCTGTCTTCTTTTGAACTATGCAGTTGGTACTTCTACTCTTTTGCTCTTTCTTTTGTGGACTCAGTGGGACAGGGGACAGAGGCCAGGTAGCTGCTGTGACTTCCCTGGGGCCTCCCTTCTGCCTCCCCATCCTCAGAACCATTTCCTTTAAAACTAACACCCGTGGGGGCTGGAGCGATAGCACAGCAGTGGCTAGAACATTTGCCTTGCACGCAGCTGACCCAGGTTCGATTCCCAGCATCCCATATGGTTCCCTGAGCACTGCCAGGAGTGGTTCCTGAGTGCAGAGCCAGGAGGAACACCTGTGCATCGCTGGGTGTGACTCAACAAAAGCAAAAAAAAAAAAAAAGAGGGACAGACATAGAAGGACTGCACTTATTTGTGGAATATAAAATAACATAACATGAGTCTGACATGCAAGGACAGTAGACACAACACAAGGGCCAGGAAGATTGCCCCCTAGTTGGAAGCCTGCCTCAGGAGCTGGGGGAGAAGGCAGCTGGGATAAAGAAGGGATCGCTAAGTCAGTGATGATTGGAGGGATCGCTCGGGATGGGAGATGTGTGCTGAAAGTAGATAAAGGACCAAACACGATGGCCTCTCAATATCTGTATTGCAAACCATAATGCCCAAAAGTAGACGGAGAATATGGGGAAAATTGTCTGCCATGGAGACAGGGGGAGGGTTGGAAAGGGGGATATACTGGGGACATTGGTGGTGGAGAATGTGCACTGGTGGAGGGATGGATGTTCGATCACTGCATGATTGAAACTCAAACATGAAAGCTTGTAACTGTATCTCACGGTGATTCAATAAAAAAAAAAGTAAAAAAACACCCAAAACCCAAGTCAAAGGGTTCTTGGGCAGAAAGGCAGCCCAGGAGGAGGGCAAGACTCAAAGGGGGGGTTGATTTTTAGAGACTCACACCCAGAGGCAAAACGTCATTCATTCCAGCTTAGCCCAAAACAGAATTAGCCATAGTCCATCCTGGCTCAGTGCTGCCCCTCTGGGTGTGTCCCTCTCCTGGAACCGCTGCCTTCCCCGCACTGGCCACTGGGACTGCCTACCACCATCTGTCCCTCCCAGTAAACCCTGCTTGCTGTGGACAGCGTCCTTCCTGTGAGCATTCTGGGCGCTCAGGCTGTGCTGATGTGCTGATGTGCTGATGTGCTATATGTGTCTGGTGTGTGCTTCATTCTTGGGATCTGCCATGAGATTCCTATAGAAACCCCTCTCCCGTGGGGAGAAGGGCCCTTCTTAACCATTGGGGGGATGCAAATTGTTGCAAATGTTTTGGAAAACTGAGGCACTTTCTTTGAAAACTGAGTGGACAATGCTGTAAGGTCTATTGACTCCCTGTGCGAAGAATACAAAGCACATTAAGACGTGAAGTTGGACATTCCCTGGGGATTGAGGAAGCATTACTTGAAATTGTTGAGGAAGCAGGATACATTCCTGGAGGTGTGCACACGTGTGTGTATGTGTGTGTGTGTGTGTGTGTGTGTGTGTGTGTATTTGTGTGCAAATTGATTGGATAAAGAATATGTGCACAGTGAAATGCCATTGAACTATAAAATGGTGAAATTTTGCCACTCACCATGAAATGAAAGGAACTGGAAGGGATTATGAGAGGCAAAAAATGTTAGGAGGAGAAAGACACATGTTGGATGATTTCGTCTGTGAATGCAAAATAAGGAAACCACTAAACACCAAGGACAGAACTGAGTTCCCCGTGGGAGACAGGGTGGGGTGGAATATGGGAGGTGGCAGTAAGGCTGAAGGGGGTCTTAGCATATGGTAGTGGGGTTAGAAAATAGAAATTCTGGCCTGGAGTAATAGTACAGTGGGCAGAGCATTTGCTTTGCATATCGTTGACCCAGGTTTGATCCCAGCATCCTAGGAATTATTCTTGAGTACAGAACCAGGAGTAACCCCCCAAGCACTGCTGGGTGTGACCCAAAGAGAAAAACAAAAAAAATCCAAACAAACAAATAAAGAACCCCCCCAAACCCTTCTACCATAAATTAACTTTATAAGGATATAAAGGAAAAGGGGGACTTGGCTGACCCACAAGGCTCATATAGCACCAGAGGGAGTAGGAGAGAGAGACACACACAGAGACAGAGACACAGAGACACAGAGACAGACAGAGACAGAGACAGTGGGTATGTGAGTGAGAGAGTGTGTATGTGTGAGTGTGTGTAAGAGTGTGTGTGAGAGAGAGGGTGTGTATGTATGTGTGTATGTGTGTGTGAGAGTGTATGTGCGTGTGTGTATGTGCGTGTGAGAGAGTGTGTATGTGCATGTGTGTGTGTGTGTGTGAGTGTGTATATGTGTGAGAGAGGTGGGGGAGAGAGGGATCGGCTGGAGAACCCACGATGAGCTTCATGAGTCCGACCAGTCAAGAGCTGACATCCCTTGGAGCCAGTGTCAGAGTGCCCCTAATGAGCCAAGAGCCGAATGTTGCAGGAAATGCAATGTGAGTCCTTTAACCCAATCTCTGCTTCCTCTGGCTCATCTTCCATGGTCAGCGCAATCTCTTCTTTCAGGCTAGTGTCATCTCTCCTTGCAGGTCTGCACCAAATATTCCTGAAGGGTGAACAGGATTCTGCCTTGGAAGGTCAAGCAATGCTTTTTGCAGCTTAAGTCATCGTCTTCCCTCTTCAGATCAGCACAGCCCCTTTTGCAGGCCAACATAACCCCTGCTGGAAGGTTAACACAACCCTTCCTTGAAGCTCTACACCATTCCCTGAGCAACCTAATGCAACCCCTGTTGTAGGTCATCATAATACTTAATACTCGGACATCAATGCAAGGCAAGCTTCTCAGCTCTGAGCCCCCTCTCTCTCTGGCTCCAGCAAAATCCTCTTTGTAGGTCAACACAAAAATTCCTTCTTGAAGGTCAACATGATTCTTACTTTTAGGTTAACAAAATCCCATCTTGCAGGTCACTTGTAGTGATTGTTTCCTGGGTAACTAAGGTTGTGCGAAAGGTTTCAAATAGATAAGTCTCATATCGTTCCAGAAACTCATTTTTGCTGTGGTGTCCGTGTCTGGTTTTTGACCAGGGGAGTAAGGTGTGGAGAAGTTGGGATAACTCCTTTGTGAGCCCAAACCCTCCCTTTGGAATCCATAGTCTTGCCTTCCAGAAACACCTGCTGTCTGTGGGAGTTTTAAACCCAAGATAGACGTGATGAGACCTTTGACCAGGTACCAAATACGGCTCTTAGATTCCCTCACCTAGTTGCTCCACTGCCCTAGATTCTTCTACCTATGAAAGGGCTGCCACCAGCCCTGATCATGGTGTGCAAAGCTCTGCACCCTCTTTGTGAGGGGGAAAGAACTTACTTTCCACTTCCTCCTCTGAGCCTTGAGGATCTCCAGAGGTGGAAATCCGAGGTCCCATTTCAGTGGGAGAAAAATTCTCATTGGTTAGGAAAGCGATAACTATTATTATTATTATTTAATTGAATCACCGTGAAATAGTTACAAGCTTTCATGTTTGAGTTTCAATCATACAATGATCAAACGCCCATCCCTCCACCAGTGCATATTGCCCACTATCAATGTCCCCAGTATCCCCCCCCACCCCAAATCCCAACCCTCCTCCTGCCTCCATGACAGACAATGTCCCCCCATACTCTCTCTCTCCTTTTGGGCATTATGGTTTGCCATACAGATACTGAGAGGCCATTGTGTTTGGTCCTTTATCTACTTTCAGCACTCATCTCCCATCCTGAATGATCCCTCCAACCATCACTGACTTAGCGATCCCTTCTCTATCCCAGCTGCCTTCTCCCCCAGCTCCTGAGGCAGGCTTCCAACTAGGGGGCAATCTTCCTGGCCCTTGTGTCTACTGTCCTTGGGTGTCAGCCTCATGTTATGTTATTTTATATTCCACAAATAAGTGCAGTCCTTCTATGTCTTTCCCTCTCTTTCTGACTCATTTCACTTAGCATGATACTCTCCATGTCCATCCACTTTAAGCAAATTTCATGACTTCATCCCTCCTAACAGTTGCATAGTATTCCAGAAAGCTTTAGATATTAGGGCCAAACCAGTGACAGGTTCATCTACATTGAAACCAGAACATTCCTGGGGAGAGAGAAAGGATCAGTGCCGCCTCCCTTTGCAAGTCCGCTGGGCCACTTACTCAGGGGGTGGTGGAGAAGGGTCACGGGGTGACTTGCTAATCCCCATCCTGAAGCTCCTGGACTGTAGGGGAAACCAGGTGTTGAGAGTCTTCAACCACCGGAAGTTCACCGAGCTCCCGATTGGTTAAGTATTGGCAGGTTCAACCGTGCTGTCAATGTAGGCGCGCTCATTCCCCTAACTGGGAAATCCTTGCTTTCTTCCAGAGGCTGTACCCAACAATCAAATCCTAGAGGGCCCCAAGGATGCCACGGTGCTGGTGGGCTCCGAGGCTCGCTTCAACTGCACCGTGTCACCTGGCTGGCAGCTGCTCATGTGGCTGCTGAACGGAGTGGTGGTGCTGAGCCTCACGCCCAGCATGGTCATCGTCACCAATGAGCGCTTCACCACCGAGAGATACCCCTCAGGCAGCGGCGGCCTCATCTCGGAGCTGATAATCCACTCTGTGCAGCTGGGTGACGCTGGCCAGGTCAGGTGCAGCCTCCAGGACAACAGCCAGAACAGTATAGCGCTCCTCTCCGTCCAAGGTGGGTACGTGGCTGGCTGCAAGGAAGGGCCTGGAGAGTCTGTGGGGCCGTCAGGTTGAGGATGGGAAGGGACCTGCGTGGTTCCCTGCTGGAGAGACAGCCTGCGGGGTCTGGCCTCACATGGGTGAGGCATGCAACTTCCTGAGCCAATGGAAGTTTGTTTCTCATCCTTCTATTATTCCCTTCCCCCTCCCCTCCCCTCCCCCTCCCTCCCTCCCTCCCTCCCTCCCTCCCTCCCTCCCTCCCTCCCCCTTTTTCCTTCCTTCCTTCCTTCCTTCCTTCCTTCCTTCCTTCCTTCCTTCCTTCCCGTTTCTTTTCCTTCCTTGCATCCCCCCCTCCCTCCCTCCCTCCCTCCCTTCCTTCCTTCCCTCCCTCCCTCTCTCCCTCCCTCCCTTCCCTCCTCCCTCCTTCCTTCCCTCCCTCCCTCCCTCCCTCCCTTCCTTTCTTCCTTCCCTTTCCCTTTCCCTCTTGCCTCCTCCCTCCCTCCCTTCATCCCTCCCTCCCTTCCTTCCCTTTTCCTTTCCCTCCTTCCCTCCTTCCCTCCTTCCCTCCTTCCCTCCCTCCCTCCCTCCCTCCCTCCCTTCCTTCCTTCCTTCCTTCCTTCCTTCCTTCCTTCCTTCCTTCCCTCCCTCCCTCCCTCCCTTCCTTCCCTTTTCCTTTCCCTCCCTCTCTCCCTCTCTTCCTTCCTTCCTTCCTTCCTTCCTTCCTTCCTTCCTTCCTTCCTTCCCTCCCTCCCTCCCTTCCTTCCCTTTTCCTTTCCCTCCTTCCCTCCTTCCCTCCCTCCCTCCCTCCCTCCCTCCCTCCCTTCCTTTCTTCCTTCCCTCCCTCCCTCTCTCCCTCCCTCCCTCCCTCCCTCCCTCCCTCCCTTCCTTTCTTCCTTCCCTTTCCCTTTCCCTCTTGCCTCCCTCCCTCCCTCCCTTCATCCCTCCCTCCCTTCCTTCCCTTTTCCTTTCCCTCCTTCCCTCCTTCCCTCCTTCCCTCCCTCCCTCCCTCCCTTCCTTCCTTCCCTCCCTCCCTCTCTCCCTCCCTCCATTCCCTCCTCCCTCCTTCCTTCCCTCCCTCCCCCTCCCTCCCTCCCTCCCTCCCTCCCTCCCTCCCTTCCTTTCTTCCTTCCCTTTCCCTTTCCCTCTTGCCTCCCTCCCTCCCTCCCTCCCTCCCTTCATCCCTCCCTCCCTTCCTTCCCTTTTCCTTTCCCTCCTTCCCTCCTTCCCTCCTTCCCTCCTTCCCTCCTTCCCTCCCTCCCTCCCTCCCTCCCTTCCTCCCTTCCTTCCCTTTTCCTTTCCCTCCTTCCCTCCTTCCCTCCTTCCCTCCCTCCCTCCCTCCCTCCCTTCCTCCCTTTCTCCTTCCTCCCTTCCCCTCTCCCCCTCTATTTCTCTGTTCTTTTTTTTAATTAAACACTTTCTTATTGAACAGTTCATATCACTTTCCCACATAGTCTATTTTGGTACCTAATAGCTTTTCTGGAAATATATTCTAGAAGTTTTCTGGGCTAGTTGCAGTCACTTTATTTAGAATTAGATGGAGTTGACAGTCATCACCTTTTCTCTACTGGTGACATTTCCTTCTTTTCACCAGAATTTCCTCAATCCATGGCTCTTCTCTACCTCCCCAGGGTTCCTAAAGTCAACAATGTTTTCAGTAAATTTATCAAGTCTTTTAGAGAAAAAGAAAACATAATATAACTTATTTTTAAAGGTAATTTTTGAGGTTCTGACAATAAATAACGTTACATCCTGAGAGAAATAAGAAAGATGACTATAAGAATCCAGAATCTTGTGATCAATGTTTAATCACATTACATTTCTCAAAAATGTAATTATAGATGATTTATAGATACATTGGCCTTACTAGAGCTCTAATTTCCATGGCAGCTTTTCTTTTGCTCAAAAATTTTATTTTATTAAAGCATCATGAATTACAACGTTATTCATAGTTGTTTTTTTTCTTTTTGGGTCACACCCAGTGATGCTCAGGGGTCACTCCTCATTCTCCACCCAGGACTTACTCCTGGCGGTACTTAGGGCGCCATATGGATGCTGGGTCAGCTGTGAGCAAGGCAAAATTCTCCCTTCCCGCTGTCCTATCACTTCAGCCCCATAGTTGCTTCTTTGACATACAGCGTTCCATCACCAATCCCACCACCGATGTCAACTTCCCCACTGGTGATCCCAGATTCCTTCTCCTACACACCCACTCAAGCCCCAGCCTTCCATCTTGACAGGCACCTTTTAAATCTGGTCAGGAAAGTGTGGTTCTTGTGATTTCAGTGTTGTTGACTGTGGTTTGGATATTTATCTGTGTCCTTCCTTAACTCCACCTATGACCCGAGTCCCCCTGACCCCTGCCCCACTGCTTCTCATCTATCCCTTCTCCCCTCCACTCCCTGTCTTTCCTGAAGAAGGAAATAAATAATGTAAAGGCACCTATACTCTAGGGTCTAACAGCATTTCTTAGACCACATTATGTCTTTGGAATTTTTCTTCTATTAATTTGTTTGCCTGGGAGAAATTACCAAAGATTCGACTTGGATTTATTTTGTTACAAAATCAGTTTTGATACTATTTGGTGGAGATATGTGTCTGCCCACTACTACTTGCGTATTCAAATTATGGGGTCATTACTTTTATGAGCCTTTAATTGTCTGGGCACAGTGGTAGCCTAGAGAATGAATTTTGTAAGGCTACCTGGGTTATTGGCCTGCTTGGTGTGACCAGTAGCTAATAACCGAGTGTGATACATGGTGGGAAGGAAAACAGGAGAAGGAATCAAAGGTGTGTGGACTCTGGCTTGATTGTCATCAGTCACCTGCCTTGGTGACTCTTGCCGGTGGGTCAGTTTCTTCATCTTTATTTTATTTTATTATTTTTTGCTTTGTGGGTCACACCCAGTGATGCTCAGGGATTCCTCCTGTCTCTGCACTCAGGAATTATTCCTAGCGGTGCTCGGGGGACCATATGGAATGCTGGGAATCAAACCTGGGTCAGCCGCGTACAAGGCAAATGCCCTCACTCGCTGTACTATCGCTCCGGCCCCAAGTTTTTTCATCTTTAAAGTGAGACTAAGGTTCCCTCTGGCCACCTGGTAGGCTGACGCTGAGTGTCATCTGTGGCTGAGGACAGGCTGAAGCCTCCAAGGTCCTGCTTGGGTCACGTCACTGCGTGTGAATGGGGGGTGGCAGACAGGCATGTCTCACCGTCTCTAGTGCAGCTGTGGGACTCTGGCACCAGGATCGTGTTCTAGCTCCATGATCATGGTGTGACCTTGGAAATATTACCAGATGACCTTGTGCCGTCCACCTGGGATTGGCGTGAGAGCCAATGCCTCTATAAAAACTTTGTCATTCACGATCGTTTCTGACCTCCCCAGTAGAAGTTCACCATGGTGTCAGGCTCTGAAGGGGGCCTGGAGGTTAAGAGACCCAGGCACAGGCCCTGCTCACTATGCCCTGGCGAGGAGAGTAAATAATGAATAATTAGTGACACAGCGTAGATGTTGGCAGGTGAAGTGGGTCAGACAAAGACTCAGCTTTCAGTAGGGAAGGTAGACGAGAAAACTGGCAAAGCCTCCAAGGATGGCTGTGAAGATGACCCCAGCCATCCTTGGAGGATGAGCGTGGAGTGCAAAGGGCAAATGAGTGACAGGGGGCATGCCTCATCCCAGAAACTCTGGACCAAAGGCCTGGCTTACTGTCCATATGTACATGACAGATAAAATTCCTACATCTACATGGTTTCATAAAATCTTCCTCCCAAGCCCTCAGTCTACAGAGTTGTCTGAGAAGCCCATTTTTAATCTACTGGAAATTTCTGTAGCTTTTGTTAAAAAGTGAGATGGCAGAACAAGCATCTTGGGAAGTAAAGATCTTTCCCAAGTTTACCCGGAAGGAACCCACATCAGGGACAGAATATCTGCAATGGTTCACTCTGGTTGGGAGAGGCGCTGTAGCATTTATTTTGGGTGGGTCTCCAAAGTGATGCTCAGCTGTTAGAAAAGATGAAGTCATGAAATTTACATACAAGTGGTACTACATGGAAAGTATCATGCTAAGCGAAATGAGTCAGAAAGAAAGGGATAGACATAGAAAGACTGCATTCATCTGGGGAACATGAAGTAACAAAATAGGAGACTAACGCCCAAGAATAGCCGAGGTAAGTACCAGGAGGTTTACTCCATGACTTGGAGGCCAGCCACACATGCTAGGGGAAAAGGCAGCTCAGATAGAGAAGGGAGCACCAAATAAAGGGTGTTGGGAGGATCCTCCCAGGATGGGAGAAGCATGCTGAAAGTAGACTACAGACCAAACATGATTGCCAGTCAGTGCCTCTTTTGCAAACCACAGCACCCAAAAGGAGAGAGAGAACAAAAGGGAATGCCCTGCCACCGAGGCAGGGTAGGATGGGGGGTTGGGGGTGGGTGGGAGGGATACTGGGATCCGTGGTGGTGGGAAATGGGCACTGGTGGATGGATGGGTACTTAATCACTGTATAATTGAAACCAAGCACAACCATTTGTAAGTCTACAACTGTACCTCTTGGTTTGTCACTAATAAAAAAAAAGTGATGCTCGGGCATCCCAAGGGGCTACTCCTAGTGATATTGACCCTGGGTCAGGGTGGGTTTGGTCCCTGCCAGTGACCACCATGACAGAGTGCTAGAGCATAAGGAAGAGACGCTGCTGAGGAACCTCAGTATCCCCTTGGCATCCAGGCTGTCTGTGAAGTTACCTCAGTCTTCACGGGCACACTCTATTGCCTTGCATATCCATGGGTACACCCAGAGGCTTTCCCTGTTGTATCCACGACACAGATCGTGGCCCTGTTTCTTCACAGGTGCAGTCAGATGCTGCTTTTTACCTCTTGCTCCCATACATACATGGAAAGTTTGGCTTTACTCAGCGGATCAGAGTTTTCCTGATAGCTGATGTAGAGTGACACTCGGTCACACAGGGGGACAGAGCCTTATCCAGCACTAACAGAGCAGCAGGGTCTGTGGAAAGCCGCC